CGGTGGAAGAGTTCCCCGAGGGTGCATGCCCACCCCCGACCCACTGCCTCGCCTCGCCCAGTCACCGTTTCGGCTCAAACAACATTGGCACCACCAGCGTTAGCTACGCCGCTGCGGAAACAACATTCGGGACAGTGGCCTACAAGCATCATTCGCGCTCGCCCACTCTGGGCGCTTGCCGCAGTCAGAGCCCCAGTTTCAGCACTCATGCAGCCCAGCAAGTTGCCGCACTCGGGGGGACGCAACCCTTTCCGGATGACGCGGCTATTTGGCGAACGAAATTGCATGCAGACGTCGCAGGAATCATGAAGCATCGGGAGAGAGGCAACGTCGCGAGGCAAACGACGCGACTCACCCCGCGCGGCGCTATGTTAGCCAACGAAGTGCCAGTGCAAGCACCGAAAAACAAAACACACGTGGAATTGACTTGCGGCAGTGCCTGGCGGGCTTCGAGAACGATTCCAAGCCAGACAGATTCAACAGCTCGCAAGCGGGAGGGCCTCGCCAGACTGTTGAACAAAAGGGCGCATGCACGTGCTATGTACGCTTCTCTAGAAAATTGCGTTCGTGGGTTAATTCGCCAGAAGCTTCGGGATGCCTATTCAAGGCACTCAAGGAACAACCACTGGCACCGCGGCGGCATTTCAAATCAGATGGAGAGTGGACGCCACCGCCGAAAAAAAAAGAAACGATTGATGGTAAATGGTCAAAATGGTTTGGCAGATGGGCGTCGCCGATCCTGCCGTGCGACGATCTGGACGCCGCCTTTCATGAAGCCCTAGCAGCTGCCGAAGTTGCTCCGCTACCAGAACTCCAGCCAGCTGGCATCATAACCGCCACGCGGGGGATGATACCACAAGTAGGTATGGGAGCCGACAGATTGACGACATTGGATGTTGAGCGCCAGCCGCATGGTGCATCACAAGAACTGCGTGACTTTACCAGGTGGTCGAAACGAACCCTTCATGACCGATTAAACTTCAGCTGGTGGCGGGGCACATGCAGCCCAATCACGAAGGATATGGACACAGAGTCATCGGGCTTTTACCAATGAGGAGTCGCATCTCGTCTCAAGCGCGCGAAAGCCAAGTTGCTTTCTGGGCCGCGTCCTCCGCTCCAATGTGGGACGCGGCAATAGACGGCAACTCGGCGCGTCGCGATGCTTTCGTTCGAGTGATGGACGATAGCTTGTTGAAGGAACGTGCCATTCTGTCACGGGTTGACGGGCACCAAAGGGTTTTATGGCACGACAACTTGCGGCGCATGAATTAGTTGCGCGCTCGAGGTGAGGTATTCAGCGCAGGTGCTAGATCTTGATTTATTAAGTTGCGCCGCCCCGGGCACTCTGCGACAGCCAAGAGCATGTTGCCCGAAGCATTTGCCCGGCGCAATCATTAGTGCAAGGGTTGCGGGGTGGAACGAGGTTCGCGCGAGTCATGGCACACTCGTTTTTCTGCCCATCTCCATAGCCCACGTCGAACTCACGCGCCGAATCTGGATCGACGACTTAAGCCAGAGCCCAAGAGGATCGAGAGCAATGCTAAGACGAGAATTACCAGGAGCATTTATCAGCATTTTCTCGCGGGCCCCAGGCTCAAAAATTGAAGACCGCAAGTGCAAGCGCAGCCCTTTGTACCCGCGTGAGCGATGAAAGATACGCGGCCAGAGAAGTGCGCCAAGCAGGTTCCCCGAGTGAGACGTTCCATCAAGTGGCACATTGGAACGCCATCACCAGGAGGCAGACGCCACGGACGAGAAGTTCGAGTCAAGAGAATGTCAAAGTCGGCCGCCATGAACAGACAGCTGAGATCACTCGCAAAAGTTGCACGGCGCTACAGAGTCACGACACATGTTGAATCACACGGACCTCGCGCAGCAGAAGTGCACGGTCACCAATTCCATGGCACATGCGGAAGACAGCTCCAGACACTCCGCGCGAGGCAAGCCGCAGTCATCGCAGCGACGACCCCCCAGAGATGTCTCACAACACTACTAGCCTTCAAGAGCCCAGGACGCGACCCAGGCGTTGAAATGCCTGCGGGTTGTCTCCGGTTATTTTGAATGCGGGCGCATGAGGGTAAGCATTTGCAGCCGGCAGCCAAGCAGGTTTGGAACGTCGCCGTTTCCAGATTCTCAAGCATGCCGCAACAGCATAGAAGACGCAGCGGAACAGGACCGCTGACAGCTGCGAATTCTCATCTTCTGGAAACAGGATGGAACCAACTCCAAGCTGATATCTGGAAGTGGAAGATTCAATCATCAGGAGAAGAGATCGTTTGGCTTTTCCATCGGAAATTGTCACTGCACTCGTGGAGGCCGACACGGCCCAAGACCCCATCAACGAATTCAGCCAAGACAGACAGAGTACTATTCGGATCAAGCCGGCAGACCTTGGCGTGGACCAGGACTGGAGAATGGAGTGGATATGCATTCGCATATCTAACTACTGCGCCGATTCAATGATGCTCGACACGGCAACCGACTTTCAGAACTGATGACAGCTATCGCCACGGGAATAGCATCCCCCGAGAGAGGGACGCAACAAAGTGTCGTGCAGAAGAATCTCGGAGCTATGTTTGCGATGCCAAGAATCAGATACGCAATTTCATTGACGTGGGTCGCGTGAGACAAATGTTGACAATAATGCGCGCGCCATGACAGATCAGTTGATGCCAGAAGCCTTCAGCCAGCATGCAGCAGAGGAGTGTGTCTGGCTACCCGGACTCATCCCATCATCATATACTAGTGTAACACCGCCGCCTCTCGAGCCAGACTGGAAGATCGGAGTAGATCTTTCAGGCAACAAAGACAGGCCTTTGGGAGTGGGAACCCGAGAGAAACCGGTAGTCGTTGCTGGAGACGCCAGCGGAGTCAAGGACTCCAGTGATCCCCGCTTGCGCCGCGTAGGTGTAGGCATAGCCCAACGTGAGCCACCATGGGGCCCAGATCAAAGCTGTGCCGACTTAGCCATAGTTGGGACCACACGCGGTCCACTGCATGGTTCTAGGCAAACTGTAACAAGAGGGGAACTCGATGTCCTGCTTTGAACGCTTCAAAGTAGTCAAGACCATGTGCTGTACATTCGCGACCGTTGTTTCGGGGCGGTATGGTAATATGTTCAAGCACCCCGCAGGCGAGGATGAGGACCTGCGGGAAACAAATTAACAGAGACTTATTCGGGGCTCCAAGTATGGTCATGTATTAAGTTGGTTTTTGTTCTGCGCGCTCCCAAACTGTAGTTTTAAGTAGACTGTGCCCTGAAGTGGTGCCCAAACATAGGCAGGAATACCTTAACCTCCTCATAGCAAAGCATATGCACCCGAAAGCGTTGAGCCAAGCGGAGAAGGCTAAGAGGAGGAACAGGGGGGCGGAGAAATCCGAGGGTCCGAGCGCGCGCAGAGTGAGATCACCAGCGCGCATTTCAAGCTGACCAAGAACCGCCGCCCCGCCCCTCTCTGCTGCCGCTGGCCGCCGCTGAGGGTTCCCGTTTTCTCCGTTGAATGATTTTGTCATATGCTCCAACTCCACGTCCTCCGCCCTTCCTGTCTCCTGATAGCAAATAGAGGGAAAAGAACTATGCACATGCACCGATTCTGGCCAGGCCCATCCTGAGCCCAGGATCGGTGCATACGCCCTCCTACCTTGGCCAGGAAGGCATATGCACCGATCCTGGGTCAAAAATGGGCCTTGCCAGGGTCGGTGCATGTGCATAGTTCTCTTCGCCCTAACAAATGCCGCCCTGTCCCACCTGAGGCCAGCCGGGAGGCGGGCCGGGCGTTCCGCCTCTGGTTTTTTTGGTTTTCAACCCGACGGCCCGATACGCCTTCCATTCCCAGTGGTGGGGAGGGGGCGTCGCGGAACACTAAGAGTACACCTTAGGCGATGCTTAAGAAAACCTAATTTGTTGGCCAGAGTCTTGATTTTTCTTAACGTTTCAATGTAAATCTTAAGATTTCAATGGAAATGTTGGGTTTTTATCAAAGTTCTGAGACTATGAGTTTCTTAACCCATGATTTCTTAAGCATTTCGCAGGGTGTACACATTATGGAACTCCTGCTCCCCAGCCCGAAATATGCGCCTTCGGGTCGGGTTGGGGTGGTCTGGTAGGTAGTCTCTATCGGCGCCTGGCACCATCAAACATTCATCGGGGACTGAAAGCAATCCCCGGGGAAGGGGTCGGGGGTTCATGGGCCGATCAAGACTCGAAGAAAAAACAGCATGAACCCATAATTGCTGTCTGAGCTCCGCGCGGATTTCTCGGATCGGCGTTGGCCCCCCGCCCAGGAGGGACCTGCGGCGCCGCCCCTGGCGCGTTCCGCGCGCCAGGGACGGGGGTAGCGCCGATCCGAAAAGCCCAGGCGGACCTCCGAAAGTTGGCGTTCGCAGTCAATACGCACAGTAAGGATTGGCAACCTTCCCAGGTGTACCCTTGCACCCTTGCCCCTTCGGCCCATCCTTGGCGACTTCGCTGGCCAGCCTCGCTCGAGAAAGCGCTAACATGGCCCCCCACGGCCCTTGCATCCTCAGCGCACATCTTTATGATACGGGTTGACTGTAGTTTAATATCTGATCAAAGGAGGTCGGGGGCGACGACAGTCTACGGTCAGCGCGTTGAAGTAAGGAACACATTTATCTCGGGATGTGCCCTGATTTTTTGGGCCGATCCCCGGGCCGATATCGGCGGAGGTGCGCGTGCTCGAGGTTCGCTGTGGCCGCTCTAAGCCCCCTCGTTGCTTGTTGCACGTTCCGTCCGGCACAACGACGACCGCATGCTTACGAGATGGGGTCCGAGCAGATGGGGCGGGAGGATCGCGCTGCATCGCCGATGCATCGGCGATGCGGCCCAGTTGGGAGCCTGATTCTCCACGCCGACGGCGCCTATGCATCCGCGACGCCGCTGGTGCATCGCCGACGCATTGGCGATGCATCGCCGATTCATCGGCAATGCGGCGCGGTCCTCCGACCCCATCTGGGAGGCCTCCATGGTCGTCCCCCCCTTACGAGGGCGCTGCCCGTCCCGCGGCGCGGGACCCCGTCGTGATCCAGCTGGAGCTCTTGATCGGCGAGGCCGCGCAGGGCCGGCTGCACGTGCTGCTGCAGGCTGCTCCCGCGGGAGGCTTCGTGCTTCACTGCCGCCAGGCCAGGCCGGGTGCCATCCTGGGCCCCAGGGCAGCGCGTGGACTCTCCAGGCCTCCCAGATGGGGCCCGAATAGGTTGGCGTGGGCAAGGTGCATATCTGCGGTATCGTATAACCAATCCCCACCCCCATCCCCTTCGAGACCCCCACCAAATTGCCCCCCAGTTGGGGATATACCCCTCGAACCCCGAAGAGAACGACCTATATCCCCATCTAGGGGCCCATGCCAGGCCGCGCCGCTGGGGATGGGGATCAGTTATACGATACTTCTATCTGTATCCACCGCGTCTTGGACATCTCTGGGGAACGGAGCCAGAAGGCCAAGGCGCAGTGGACATGGATAAACGTCTGGCCTCTGCGGGCCAGGTGCTTCTCCATGTCCACTGCGCCCTGGGCATCTGGGGAAGGGATCCCGAAACTCCAAGAGGCAGTGGATATGGATACGCATCTTGCCCGCAATGGGGTCGGAGGATCAAGCCGCATCGCCGATGCATCGCCGATGCCGATGTGGATCCCGATTGTCTGAATCCCGACATCGCCGATGTATCGCCGACGTCGCCGATACGTCGCCGTTGCATCGGCGATGCGGCGCGATCCTCCGATCCCATCTGCCCGAAACCGCATCAGGAAGGCCACTACTGATCCCCCCTCTGGCCGAGGCCTGGAGGGCGCATGCACCATGCCGGGGCTTAGGGCCCAGGGTGGGCTTGGGCGGCCAGGCGGGGTGGTGGTGAAAGGGATGCCTTCTGCACAGGCCGGGCTCGACGGGGACATCGAGAAGAGGCTCTGGGAGAGCAAAAGGCAGCTCCCATCTGAACTTTCGGAGGTCCGCGCGGACTCCCTGGGTCAGCGCTTGACCCCCCTCCTCGCCACCCCTGGCGGCGCATCCCGCGCCGCCCCCGGGGGCCAACGCCGACCGAAGGAGTCCGCGCGGAGCTCCGAAAGTTGAGACGGCGTCGCATTTGTTGACAACAGGCGCTTTTGCCTTGTTTCGGGCCCCAGGACCCTCACGGATGGAGGATCGGGCTCGGAAAACGCAGCAGGAAGATGGGGTTTGGGGGCCCCAGTCGTGATCTTGTACGATGTATTTTTGTTGGTGACGTCGGATCTCAGGGCCTGGCACATTCGGCACGATCGAAGTGGGTACGGACAGGAGGGGACGAAGATCTGCAGTAGCTCCTGTCCATTTTCGGCAAGATTCGCTGTCGGAATCGCTGCGGACGGTGCTCATTTGAGACAGGAGGTCGCCTGCACAACAGCGGCCGCTGCCGGTTCTGGACAGCATGTGCCACTGGGCATCGTGCCCATTTTCTCCGTACCAATTTCGGTTTCAGGCGCGCCTGCTCGCAAGGGTCCCAGACATGCGATGTCCCAACTTCTTCAGCACGGGGCCCCTGAAAGTTCTGACCCCTTCTCCAGGGCCACTTTTTCATCCCGGGTGGTGTTTTGATTGCCCCGGGGCCCGGCGAGGACCTCAGGAGGCCGGCAACGGCCGAAAACTTCCCGTCACGATGTTTGTCAGGGAAGAAGAAGATGGTGTTTGAGGTCACCTTAACAATGAGGTCGACCCAGCAGATGGGACGAATCCAGCGGATGTAGGCGTTGGTTGGGATTGAGCTGCATGATATGGATGGCCAGCTCGCGAGCCTGTCTGGGTCGGGGCCTGCGCGCCGCCGATCCCCCGCAGGCTCGCCGCGTGACCCTTGGCCCTCGACCGCATCCCTGACCCCTGATCCTCGACCGCATCCCTGGACCGAGTCCTCAGATCTCCGACCGTGTCCTCTTTGACCCTCGGATCCTGGTTGTCGGCGGCGAGAGAGAGCGGGGGTGGAAGTGAGAAGGAGAAGGCCTTCTCTGTAGGCTTAGGTCGGGCATGTCCCTCTACAGGAGGAGTGTTCAAAAATAGTCTGGGGACGAATTTGTTAATATCTTTGATTCTGTATAGGATATGTTGTGAATCTATGTATCATTCTTCCACACTCCGCCTGTGGGAGGACATGCTCGACCCGACTCTAGGCCTCCTAGATGTGGCTGGAGTAGATGGGGTCGGAGGATCGCCGATGCATCGCTGATACATCGCCGATTCACAGCGCTGGCGTCGCTCGTGCATCGCTGGTGCATCGTCGATGCCCTGCCGTTGCATCTTTCCATCTGCTCGGACCCCACCTGGGAGGCCTCTATCGCCTCCTCCTCCTCCTCCTGCTCCTCCTCCCCCTCCTCCCCCTCCTCCTCTCTTCGGTTCGATCCCCCGCAGGCTCGCCGCGTGCCTCGCGCCCAGCGGCGCCGCCGTGGAGGCGCTCGCGGCCGGGGCGGCCTGCGCCTTCGCCGGGCACGGGCCGCTGCCCCGGCACGCGCCCCGCGCCAGGGCGGAGCCTGAGCCGGCGGCAGCGGAGCCGGCGGAGCCGGCGGAGCCGGGGGCCGCGGAGCCAGCGGCCAGCGAGGATCTATAGGCTCAAGTCGGGCACGTCCTTCTACAGGAATATCCCAAAATAGTACAGAAATTGTCTGGGGACGACAGGTTGATTGTTCTGTTGTTCTTGTTGTTTTTTGCCTATTCAATTTTTGCCTGGAAAATCCGCTCGTAGGAGGACATGCCACATGCCCGACCCAAAACTAGGCCTCCCAGATGGGGTCGGAGCAGGTGGGGTCGGAGGATCGCGCCGCATCGCCGATGCATCGACGACGCGGCTCGATTTGGAGCCAGCGTTCGTTTCACGCCGACGTCGCTGGTGCGTCGCCGACGTCGACGCTGCATCGCCGATGCATCGCCGACACATCCGCCTCATCGGCGATGCATTCGGGATGCGGCGCGATCCTTCGCCCCCATCAACGTGACCTCATCCAGAAGGCCTGTAGAGGAGGCGGCGGCCGGCGCCGCGGGCGCGGAGGCGGACATTCTGATCAAGCGGCGGTGAAGCGTCCTGACTGGCCTACAGGCCCAGCAGAGAGTGCTCTAAGAACAATATTGGCCGAGGCAGTCTGGACTAATTCCATCGGTTGCTACGTTCCAAGAACATGTCTTTGTTATTTGATTGCCCTCTCGTTCTAAGAACATGTCGTGGTTGACCTACAGGGTCGCCGGGACGGTCGGTCCCTGCTCAAGAGGCAGACAGCCGGCGCCAGATGTGTGACGATGCGATGTGTTACATCCGTCGTTGTTCCTCGAGAGTCGGCCTGTCTGGCGCGATACCGTGGCCGGGGGCCATCACAAATGGATCAGGGACGATGGTCGATCCTCGGGGGCCCAGGGGCCGATCAGGAATCGAAGAAGAAATGATAAGTCGCCGTTGTTTTATTCATCGTTTCGCCGTTAGGCGCGGGCCCCCGCCCCACGTTTGGCGGCTGCTCTTGGCGACTGGTCAGGACCCCCCTCCCCTCCCAGTCTGCTTGCGCGACTGGCAGAAGCAGATCGACCAAGCACCGGCCCAGACTCAGACCCCCCCACTCCCACAGCCTGCGGCCAAATGCCGAAGCCGAGAATTCACAAAAAGCCAACGAATTGTATGAACGTAATTTTTCGGAAGTCCGCGCGGATTTCTCGGGTCGGCGCTGGACTCCTTTTGTGGCGCCTCCAGCGCCGCCCTTGGCGCGCTGGGGGGAGTCCAGCGACAAGCCAAAAAGTCTGCGCGGACCTTCCAAAGTTTGTGCTTCTGCCTCCGTTGCTTCGTCCGATTTTCGACTTGTCTTGGAGGCCTTCCCCGGCTGCACGTGAGAGTGATCCTTCGCCTACAGTGTCCTGGTGGTGCCGAGGGGCCACGCCCGAGCACGCGGGCTGCCACAGGCCCGCTGCATGCAGCCATCAGCACGCCGCACACCGAAGGCCACTCTCGCCTGGAGGCGCTCTGTGCGCGTGGCCGATCTCCAGCCTCGGGGCGCTCTCCAACAGCTGCGCCTCGTCGAGAGCGCTCCCCGGGGTGCCCGACATGCCCCGAGCGGCCGCCGGGGAGGCCCGAGTCAGCGGTTGCCCGAGAGCCAGATCCCTTCGCGTGGTCACAGCAGTGCGACGGACCGGTTTGTGGTGAGGCTCGGCCTTCGAGGGGGATCGGTTTCGGGCCCCGGAGCCATCACCAGCGGCCCAAGACTCGATGGTCTTCAGGACGCGTGTCAGCCTCAGGTGTGATTACCCCCTTCAGCTCCACCGACAGCACCAGCCAGTATCGGCCCTCATGAATGACACCGCCTGCATCTCACTGAAGGGCTTCGGTGGACACGCACACGTTGGCGCTAGCACACGTCCTGAGCATCATCGAAGGATGAAGACTTGTCAAGGGGCCCAGTGACACAGAAATAAACAGACTGAATTCCAATGAGGATTCCCCATATATTCTCATATGTTCTGGAGGTTCGTCTTCCCCCCCCCCCACACTTCCCAGATTTTCCGCATATTTTCCTGGGACTCGTCGACGAGTGGTTGTGCCTGTGTGCTTTTTGCTCCCCTCCCGAAGTTGGGGGGAGGGGTCGGGGCGCCCTGGGGGCCTCGCACGGAAGAGAGCTGCCGCGACGCCCGCGGCGTCCCCGCTCCCGGCAGAGGCGGCGGAGCCACAGAAGCCGTGGGGGCAGCAGTTTCTCTCTAGGCTTAATTCGGGCCTGTCCCTGCACAGGGGGAATCTTCAAGAATAGTCAAAAAATTATCTGAGGACTATTTTTTGAGTATTTTTGGGCATCTTTTGAGCATGTTTTGCGTCTTTTTTATTTTTCGTCCAAAATCCCCCTGTAGATGGCGCCGCATCGCCGATGCATCGCCGATGCGGCTCGATGTGCATCCCGACTTGCTTCACATCGACGTCGCCGATGCATCGTCGACGTCGACGATGCCTCGCCAGCGCATGGCCGGTGCATGGCCGATGCATGGCCGATGCATCGCCGATGTATCGGCGATGCGGCGCGATCCTCCGACCCGATCTATTCCGACCCGATCTGGGATGCCTCTAGTCTCTCTACAGGAATATTCAGAAATAGTACAAAATAGTGTGGGGACGATTTTCCTAGTATTTTCTGCTATTTTGAATATGTTTTGGCAAGTGTGCATTTTTCGCCCAAAACCCGCATGTAGGAGGACATGCCCGACCTAGCAGTAGGGCATCCGGTCGAACAGGATCTTAAGGATGAGCCTTTTGCGATGGTTTTCTTAATCATTGTTTTGCCGATCGGCGCGGGCCCTCGCACATACCCCCTCCCCCCTCCTTCCCCCCTGATGGAGTAGATCTTGACTGTTTTTGTCGCCTGCTTCGTGCAGGTGACGAACTGTTGCATATAGTCGCACTAAGCAGACGTCCAGAGCCAGACCCCCCCCCCTCCCCCCCCCCTTTTCTCCTGATGGCGAAGCGCCGAAAAAGAAAACGCTCACAAGTTTGAGTCTTTTCCCAATCGGGTACTTGCATCCTTCGAAGAAAGAAAAACGGCACAAGCATAAACTGTTGGCGTTCCGCGCGGACTTCTTGGGTCCGCGCTGGGCCCCCCCGGCGGCGCATCCGGCGCAGCCTTTGGCACGCTCCGCACGCCAGGGACGGGGTCAGGCGCAGATTCAAGAAGTCCGCGCGGAGCGCCAACAATTTATGTTAATGCCGATCCTTAATACTATATTTTAGATTAATTTTGAATATTAGTATTATGATTATAATCCTTGCCTCTCAGGGCCCATCCTCATCCTTAGCCATGGGCCATCGGTTGCCAACTTCGGTATCAAGTTGTGCGTCCAAGTGCGTTGCATCCTTGCCCCCCCGTCCTTGAGACAATGTTTAATCTCCTGGCGATACCTTGCTCGACGGGGCGGAGGGGGGCAGCGGGCTGGTCACGTCGCGATTCGTGTTGGTGCTGTCTGGGAATGCGAGACGGCGCCGTCGCGAATCGTGACGTGACACAGAGGGGGGGGAGGGGAGGGGGGCGGGGCTGGTCATGGGCGTTATCACAAATAATCAAAAGTGGGTCCCGTACGATTCTGACAGGCTACTTTTCGGAGAACGCGTAATGAAGGGGGGGGCGGGCGATGAATGGGGGGGCAGCCAGGGCTGCAGAAAGGGGTCCCTCGAGGGCCCCTTAAAGGGGCCTTTCAGGGCTCCAGAGGGGGCCTGTCGGCCCTGAGGAGGGCCCCTCTCCCCCCCCCCCCATTTATCGACCCCCCGCTCACTCGCGCCCAAAACTTGCAAACATCCGCGCATGTTCTTTGGGTCGATGGTGGGCCGCCCCCCAGCCTCTCCTCCATGACAGCGCCTCTGGCGCCGCCCCTTGCGCCAGAGGCGCGCCGTGGAAGGGGTGTTCATGGCGGGTGTTCACTTTGGGGGGGTGGATTGAGGGGCATAGCAGGGGCGCGGCCTGGAGATCTCCTAGATCTCACGGCCCCCTCCCTTTCTTCCTGTTCTGCTCCGTCTTCCTTCTTGTTTTTTTTATCATCTGAGTATTGTTGCGAATGCGATCATCAGTATAATTAGTGTTGTGAGTAATATCCGTACTCTTATCCTTATTTGTCTTATTCGTATGATTATGAGTACCCGTAGCATTAGTAGTGTTAGGTAAGTGTTGTTATTAATATTGAATAATTTGATCGATCATTGTTAATACAAGTATGATTTGTACTCGTATTACGGGTAGTATCCATCGTATGATTCTTCATAGTGGCATTCTTCGTATAAGTAGTATTATGCATAGTACTACTGGGTGCTGCCATTAGTATTCGTATCACTCGTTTTATTGTCATTCATTATTGGTAGCACGAATATGCTTATTATGCGTCGTTATAGTACTAGTATAATCTTTATTATTATTCGTATGACCATTATTGCTCTTCCACCGCATTTCACGCCCCCCCCCTTCGTCCTCCGCGCACACGCCTCGGGCCATAGCGCGCCAACCTGCTCGTCCAGGCCCACGCAGCGCACCCAACAGAAGGCCCGTGGGGCACCCGCAGGTCTGATCGTCGTCGTCGGAGGAGGAGGAGGGGGGAGAGGGAAGCGGTGCAGGATGAGGAGGACGAGGAGGAGGAGGTGGAGGAGGTGGAGGAGAAGGAGGAGGAGGAGGAGGGGGAGAAGGGGGAGAAGGAAGAGGAGCAGGATGAGGAGGACGAGGAGGACGAGAAGGAGGAGGAAGAAGAGGAGGAGGAAGAGGGGGAGAAGGAAGAGTAGGAGGATGAGGAGGACGAGGAGGACGAGGAAGAGATGGAGTAGGAAGAGGAGGAGGAGGTAGAGTTGGAGGAAGGGGAGGAGGAGGAGGAGGAGGAGGAGGAGGAAGAGGGGCAGGAGGAGGAGGAGGAGCAGGAGGAGGAGGAGGAGGAGGAGGATCAGGATAAGGAGCAGGAGAATGAAGAGGAGGACGAGGAAGAGGAGAGGTGGGACAGGGAGCATGAGGAGGATCGAGGATGAATGATCCCGATCGAGGTTCCAGGCTCCTCCTCTTCGGAATACTGGAATCCAGCGCCGCCCCGCGAAGTCCGCGCGGGCCTTCAGAGTTTGCGCCTGCACACCGCTCTTTCGCTCTTCTCCCGCAGGCGCCCGTGGAGCCCGTCGAGGCACAGGAGCCGCAGAGGGCACGCACTGCACACCACTGCCGCGCCAAGCCAGGGGCATCCTGGGTCCTTTCGGACGCAGCGCCCAGAAATTCCTCGAGCCATTCCCCTCCTCGGCCATCGGAACTGGCCGGCCATCTCATTCCGGGCGTTGTTCCTCGACTTCGGCCTCTGGGGCCTGGCACTGGGGCCCGAGACGATCTAAAATGGACCCGAGTCGGGACCTTTGGAGGCGCACATTTACCGGGGGCGGCCAAGAGGGGGGTGATGACTGGGGGGGGGGGGGGGCATATCGTGACGGGGGCCATGATGTCTTCGCGAATTTCTTGGCGCTTCTTCCTACTTCAATGCGTCCCCGGCCCACCCCTGGGCCGCGCACATGCCGCCGGCCATGATTTGCACCCCCCCCTCTTGGACGCCCCCCTCTTGGCCGCCCCCGAATTTAGCCGGACGCCTGTTGGCCTCGGCCGAGAGGGCGATGGACACCATCCTAGGGCCCAGCATGGACCTTGGTAGGCACGGTGGTGGTGCACAGTCCCAGAGATCCGACGGCGTTGCTTCTCCGAGGCATGGGCCCAGGGGCCTCTCGACCAGCCCCCGGCTTTTCATCCTGAGGTCGCTGCTGGCGTTCCCAGGGCCCGAAATGGGCCTCCAGAGACAACAGAAACGTGACGGGCTCACTCGCCACCCAGATATGTGAGTATTGAAGGCTGGTGTCGTGTCGACGCGGCGGCGACCCCGCCGCCGGCGTAGGTTGAACGCCGCGAGCGACCCGGAATCGGTCAACGTGGAACGATCCGGCGGTCGAGGCGCCGCCGATGGTCCAAGGCTGAACAATTCACGCGGTTGCAGAAACGAGAGCCGGAGTCGTCGCGGCGCGAACTTGCCGCAGTTGTTCCTTGCGCAACAGGACGACCCGTGCGAGCACTGCACCACGGGGCTCCTGAGCGCCCCCAGGCAGGGGCCCGGGCTGCTCCTGACCCTGGGGCCGCAGGCCAGCGGCGGGCAGAACCCAGACGCTCAGCAGCTCGATCCCCAGATCTCCCCAGAGGTCTGGCGTCTCGAAAGCATCAAAACGCGGCATGTTTGCCATTCTTCTGGCCGTCTGGATGCTGGTCTCGGGGCCCATGACTCTCAAAAACGACCCTGGATGAAAATCGGGTCCCAGGGAAGGGGTCGAGAGGTTGGGGGACCCGTGTCTCAAACAAACGCGCCGCCGAATATTTCAGTCCGACGAGATAGTTTTTCAGTCCTGCTTTTTCCTAGATTTCGGCCCCGAGTTGCAGTCGGAACCTCCCTGGGGCCGCAGATGAAAAAAGTCACGTCGGCGGATGCCAGGGTCTCTGGACTCGGGCCTCCACCACCACCACCAAAAAGCCAAGCATCCCGAAGGACGCGTGGGCAGAAGGCGCGACTGGCAACCCTCCATGAATTGCAAAGTGAGAGTCGGAAACAAAGAGCGCTTCACGACTGTGGAGCAGGAAAAGGAGCGCCCGACTGTGAAGCAGACGATGGGGTGCCCGACTGAAGCAGGCCTCCAGAGACTCAAAAATATGAAGTCCGAGGTGTTCGACCATTTTCACGGTGTCCCTGAGGCCGTCCAAAGCGGTTCATGATGAGAAAAGCGGTCTTATAGGATTTCTTATTCCTCCTCTTCCTCCTCAGCCTCAGCCCCCGCATCCGCCTCCTCCTCCTCCTCCGCCTCCTCTTCCTCCTTCTCCTCCTCCTCCTCCTCCTCCTCCTCCTCCTCCTCCAAGCCTTTTTCCATCGAGAGGTTGCGGTTGGGGGGGGGCTCTCCGCGCGCGCCCCGAAGTCTGTCGGCGGCCGCCACACGCGGGGTTGGAATCGGTGGCACAGCGGGAGGGAAAGTAGGCGTGTCTCACTTGAGGGTTCTTGGACTCAACCCCATTCACACTTCTGGAGAGCGTCTCCTGGAGGGCGCAACACGGAGGCTATTTCAGGACAGTCGCTAAGCTTATCACATGGCCGGCAGCGATTTGTGTGCGGTCCCTGTTCGCTGAACGCCCATCGTGCCTTGTGACCTGAACGACGGGATGGGCGAAACACGTCCGGAAGGGGTAAGGGCGCCGATTGATCCACCAGTGGTCGGCATCCCGAATCGAGAGACATAACGGCGCAGGCCATCGGATGCGCACGTTGATGGAGATTCATGAGATGCTGGCCGCGAACACATTTTGCACCGAGATTGAACCATTTGTTCGAACGACTGGCAATTCACGAATTGATTATCTATTCTCACAAGCGACGCCTGGATTAATGGTCGCATGTCGGGCACATACCGTATGGATGCCAAGTTGCAACCCGTCAAGGGAATTTCTCCAAGACACCATGTCCCTGTGGTGGCCGTCCTACGGTGTGCGAAGTATGGAGGCGCAGCGGTCGAACCTACACAGCAGGAGTCATGGGACATGGATCGATTGATGATATCGCTGCGAGAAGGTCCATGGCGCGCAGGGATTCTGGCAGCTCTTAAGACAAGAGGTGGTTCACTCCGTCTGCAGTGATTCAGAGTTGATTCGTCTCCCGACGGGATTCATGGGCTTACGCCACACCGCCGACCCCTTGGGATATTTGGGAAGGCCTTGGGGGGGGGGTCGTGCAGCATGAACAACCTGGCTCTCGCTATCTCGCGCGGGGCCTTTTATCTTGTGCACTGCCCCCCCATGTCGCCGCGCTAAATTGCCGTTGCTTGCTCCGGCCTCGCATCAGGTCCACCCTCAGCTACTTTGTACGTTTGTATGTACTAATGATCGTATATATAGTATATAAAAATATATCGTATATATCGTATATATACACATAAACATATGGGTATATATACAGAACATGCAATCGTATATTGTAGACACACGCGTACATAACATGGGCACGCATGCGTGCACAGAGGTGGCGCTGCGCGGTGCCATTCGACAGCGTGTTTGGGGCTCAAGAATTGGCTCGTGGTGTGTTCAGTCGGCGCCAGCGACAGCAGATGATGATGAGGCGCCAGCGACAGCGGTCACGAGCTGATCTCAATTAGTTTTTGCGTGTGCCGGGCATGTACATATATAAGCCAGATGATACAGGGGCGTCCCCCCGCAACTCAAGTATATGTATACATATGTGTGCAACATACGTAGGGGCGTCCCCCTCACCTGCTGGCCCGTGGGTGTCTTTCCCGAAGATACTGTGCAACTTCTTTGAAGCACAGGTACGGATCGGACGTCGCTGACGCATTGCGGCAAGGCTCACGCGCGCACGGAATCAACGACGGCGAGTTGAGCTGCTGCGACGCAAGTATGGGGAAAGGAGGAGGCATGAGGTGGCTCAGAAAAGGAGGAGCGATTAGCGATGCAGATCCTGTTCCTTTGAGCCGCAACAGAGTAGGAGGACTCCGACGAAAGCCCTGCGAGGAGGATCTCGCAGCGCGCGGACGTCCCACCGCGCAGGGTGGAGGTTTTGAAGCCAATTTTTTGTCCTCCGGACCAACGGCGGCGCCTCTTGGAGGGGTTCATCCTCGGAGGCGCGTTGGAGGCTTTGGACAGATCGAGACCAGATCAAAAAAAAGTCCAAACCCAATGGTCGCGTGAGGCTAATCGCGCTTTGCGGTCTGGTGGTGAGTGCGCATTATTTAGGCGGTCGCGGTAGGGGCTTGAGGATGGTCACGCTCGTTCGGCGCAAGATCCTTTGGCAGCCAGGGCTTCCTCCGACAAGACCGTTCATGCGAGTTTCGTTAGGGTGCTCGGGTGTCGCTGCGACATGAAGTTTCGATGCCAGCGGCTGTTCCGCAATCTATCCAAAGTTGCTCCACGAGAATCGTGTCTTGCGGTCTGGGTTGGCAATGTGTTGTGCATGCGGCTGTTCCAAGGGCGCGAGGAAGGGCACGTTTCGCGCGGCGGCTGCTCCTTTGGCGACGAGGCCACCTTTCCCGCGCCCCAGGAAAACCATGAGCTTCTTGCAGTTTGTCCCAGCGTTGCTGTGGCTTCAAATACTGATGGCAGGGTCGCCCCCGCAGCCCGCTCCAAGTTTGCGCCGGGATAATCGCGCCTCGCGGCCTGCGTTGGAGAGTGATCTTCTTTCATGGGTCATGGTGGGGAGCCGATGGCGACGGCATAACGGATTAGCGAGGGGTTCCTGTGGCGCGTCAGCGGTGGCAGGCGCCCGGCCAGTGGCTGGCGGCTGTTGCCACTCCACGGGCAGATTTCCATTTTTTTTGCGTGTGCAGCATCACAGTTGCACATCTAGATGATACAGGGGCGCCCCCCCACATCGCAGGAATGCGCATGGGCGTCCCCCTCGTATGCTTCCTGATTGTATCCTCGTCGAACATATAGTGCAACGTCTTGCGGCACAGATTAACATCGCACTTCGCCGATGGACGGCGGCGAGGGCCGCACGTGCACGAAATTATGTGCTATCAGGAAAGGCCGTGCACCTCAGCAGACAAAGTGCGGTGGCTCGGATACCACGACAAGACCTGTGCAGATATGCCAGGATGGTTACCGCTTGCCGTGGGCATGCCAGCTGTACTGACGGACCATTCGGACAGATCAGAGAAGCAATTGCTACGAGGGTGTCGACTGCATCCCCGAGTCCCTCGCGCTCGGACGTGGCATCTGGATTCGTATCGAAAGAAGCCCGCGCTGGGAGTGCGACGGAGACAGTTTATAATTTCGCTTGGGCTGGCGTGCACGGCGCACGCAGCGCAAGGGCGAACTTTCGACGCGGTAATAGCGGACTTGGAGGAAGGCAGAAACGTGAGCTGGATGTCGAGCTACGCGGCCATAACGCGCGTGAAGACTCGACAGGGTCTGCTCATATATCGGCCATTTTCGAGACTGCCGCACACGCAGGGAGAATTGGAGGGCACGAGGTTGTTGTTACAGAAGCTGCGGGGAGAAGCGCTGCCGTGGCCCGACATCGAGGAGAGGTTGATGCCGCGGAAAACATGCGGGAAATATCGGAAGGCGAAGGAAAAGGCGGATTTCAGCACGAATGAGTTCGGCGCGAAGTCGGGCCCGAGCTTCTGCTGCGAGTGCACGGAGATGTTGAAGGGAGCAGGGGGAAAGTGGTGCACGACATGTGACCAACGGGCCGAGATAGCCTCCAGAGTGACGGGGGCCGGGTCCGACAGGAGCAGAGTGTTCGCGCGGACAAGCAAATGCGACAGGTGCGCAGGGCCACCAGCCCGGAGGAAGTCGCGGAAAGAGTCTCAGAAGTGGCAGCATAATGTACGAGACAAATTTAAGATGCGTTGCGCGGAATGATGTGAATTCCTGAAGACGGAGGCAGACATTGCGGCGAACCAGTACGCGACGAAGGGCGCAGGGGAGAAGCTCTGCAAGAAGTGCGCAGGGAAGAGGAAAGGCGGATGGAACAAGTGGAGCCAATCGCAGAAGGAAACGGATTGGATTAATGCAACGAACACTGCTCGATGAAGCGCGCGCCAGGAACAGCCGCTGAGGTGTTCGGAGTGCCCGAAAGACGCAGGCGGAAGAGGGCGGGAATTCACGGACGCGGCGCATCTGACCACAGAACAAACAAACCACTATTATAAAACGGGCGCAGCCCATAGGCCAGTGAAATGCAGCGACTGCGACGCGCAGCACAAGCGATCGCGGGTGTTCAGGCGCTTCGCGCGCCCGAAAGAAACAGGTGGGATAGAGCAAGAATTCACGGACAGGACGCACCTAACAGATAAGCAACTGAAGCATTTATTCGCGAAGGTTGTGGCGTCTTGGGGGCCTCTTCAGCCGTTCGGAGGTCGTCGTCAGCGTTTTGGATCGCTCTTGGACCGTCGAGGACCACGTGGAGCTCTCTTCGAGGCCACTCGGACCGCTCCTGGAGCGCTCTCGGGGCCGTTTTCGGAACCCTTTCTGGGCCGTCTTGGACGTCTGTTGGCCCGTCTTGGGGCCCTCGAGGGCTGTGTAGGAACCCTCTTGGAGACGTCTTGGGCCGTCTGGGAGCGGGTTTGGGGGGCTCTGGGGCCGTCCAGGAG